CCATGTTAACATAGTCAGATGACTAATTACAATATAAGTTGTCTTTCAACACAAAAATGTTGAAAGAATGTCTCTTCTGACAACTCAACTCTCTGGTAGGAAGCATCTCCTTGAAAAAGTTGTTTGTTAATAAAATGTGATGGACCTCATCCGATTCTTCCAGTTGTCGGTACATCAGACATGTACGAGGACAGGTGTTTAAATCTTCACAATGCATACTACTTCACATTGCTAAGATACCCTATATATTCTCCTTTGTACAACAGCAGCAGTGCTTAGCGCCGCATACTTGAGAGCATTATGAAGTTGAACTGTTCAACGGTCTGACATCCGAGTGCACACAGCGTTCACATCCACCTTGTGTTTTTCAAGCAAGGTTGAGACAGGGCATGGTGTTAGAGGCCCCTCTCTGCTCAGCTTGTGTCTCTTTCAGGATCTGTGACATCCAGATTTGTCTCTGTTTAGCCCAGTCATGTGATACACTTGAACACAAGATGACGAGATCCCATCGTGTTAAATATCGCTCAGACTGCCTGCTTCTAATGCATTAAGTGTGATATAGGCAGCCCCAGGCAAAGGTGAATTTGCAATCCGAGGCAAGAGTGAATTTGCCCCCACCAGTGGGCTGCCGACAAGGCTCTAATGATGGGGCCTGTGATCACCACTCCTGCATGAGGGAGAGAGGGGAGGGAGGGGTCCCGTTTTTTACATCACGCACAAAGATGAGAGATTTATGTCATTTAGGGTGTAAGGTAAGCCATACAGAAAGCCATATCACGTATTGCTACCTATGTGGTTAGGCTTCAGATTGTAAAGAAGAGATTAGACTGTTTGTGCTATCTCAACCGACAATCTCAGGATTGTGACTGTTTTTTTCCACTAGATTACAAAGCTATGTTTCTTCATGTCTCCCTGGTGCAGTCTGTCAATGGCCATTACCTACTTGTGGTTAAGGGTTAGGGGCTCTGTAAAGAGACAGTCGATGCGAGCTGGCTTCTCTGTCAGGGTTAATGGCCTGGAATTGCCAGATGTCTGATATGGCATTCCTGTCTCTCGGCAGGACCCAAAAAGGAGGCAAATTGATTTCATCTTCATGTTTAAAAGTTTATCACTTACTGCATTTGATTGATGTTGCATCGGAGCAGGACACGGGCTTTAATCTCTATTTTGGGCATATTCTTTTCACAGCATATACCAAGAGATTCAGTACCCAGAACATTTATCACAATTTGAAAGATTAATATCTTATTCTGACACACTAATAATTGAATCATTCAATGAGATAGACCTTAAATATACATCTAATTGCTTAAAGTCGATTAATTCTACTTGGAAATGTATTCACAATCACCTCGACCTGTTCTTACCAATGATGTCGATTCTGGTGCGTAAGAGCAGAGGGCATCTTTTTTAATTGGGGGTTATCGTAAGAGGTCAGTCTCCCTGTTAGAAGAACATGAACACCGTTGCTAATTTGGTCCAATTAGGACCCTCTGTTTCAAGAGATTGCAAAACAGGCTGTACAAGTCCACCACCCCCACAATGAACAGTTGTGGAGTTCTGTACAAATCGTAGCCTGGATCAAGGTCAAAGAAACGACACACTATTAGTGTGTAAGTTGGGATTTATACCATTTTAAGCAATGTTCCAACCATATCAAGGCAGATGACATCATAAATATGCTTCACACATTGAACCTGGGCCTTCAGTATGATGAGCAAATGCTTTAAACACCAGGCTACCCTACCGTCCACCACACTTAGTAATATCATGCAGTGTAACCAGCTGATCCTGGTCTTTAATGGAGGCCCTTGTGCGAAGCATGGGTACTGAGGACCTATTCTGACCACAAAGACTACATTGCAATGTATAATAAGAGGTAAATCAGCGTGACCTGTATGTTTTATATATTGTAGACTTGGAATAGGCTTTGTTTGTTTGTTTGGTGTTTAACGCCGCATTCAGCAATAGTCCAGCTGTATGACTGCGGTCTGTAAATAATCAAGTGTGGAACAGACAATCCAGTCACTGACATCATGAGCATCAATATTTGCAAGTTGGATAGGATGACATCAACCACATCAGTGAGCCTGACCACCCGATCCCATTAGTCGCCTCTTAGGCCAAGTATAGTCGCCTTTTACAGCAAGAATGGGTTGCTGAAGACCTATTCTACCCCAGAACTTCATGGGTCGACAAGGCCAACCAGTGGTCGATAGTGTTCTGACTCAATGGTCAGGTCAAAGCTGTGCAACTGCTCAGCCTAGACTATCACACGGCCATCTATACTCTGTCCCCACTGTGACCAGTTGATTCCCTTTAGCAGCCTCCCTCAGACCAAAGGTCGTGAAGACCTATTCTACCCAAGAATCCCCATGTCATCTTCGGATGCTACCCAGGTCATGATGTGGTTCGATCTTGTCTCACCATGTGCTCATGATCTTAGCCCATGGGCACACTTTACTATCCTGAGGGGAAGTTTGTAAGGGTCAGGCTGGTAACATTTCTACAAAATCTACTTCTTCATAATTCATTGTGTTCATGTACATGCCATATAGCAAGGTCTACCACAAATTGGAAACATGAGTCCTACCAAGGATCGGAGTCCTACCACAGATCTGAGTCCTACCACGGATCTGAGTCCTACCAAGGATCGGAGTACTACCACAGATCTGAGTCCTACCACGGATCTGAGTCCTACCACGGATCTGAGTCCTACCACGGATCTGAGTCCTACCAAGGATCTGAGTCCTACCAAGGATCCGAGTCCTACCACAAATCTAAGTCCTACCACAGATCTGAGTCCTACCACAGATCTGAGTCCTACCACGGATCTGAGTCCTACCGAGGATCTGAGTTCTACCACAGATCCGAGTCCTACCAAAGATCTGAATCCTAACAAGGATCTGAGTTCTACCACAGATCCGAGGCCTACCATGGATCCGAGTCCTCACAAGGATCCGAGTCCTACCAAGGATCTGAGTCCTGCCATGGATCTGAGTCCTACTGCGGATCTGAGTCCTACCGCGGATCTGAGTCCTACCGCGGATCGGAGTCCTACCACAGATCCTAGTCCTACCAAGGATCTGAGTCCTACCGCGGATCGGAGTTCTACCACAGATCCTAGTCCTACCAAGGATCTGAGTTCTACCACAGACTCGAGGCCTACCATGGATCCGAGTCCTCACAAGGATCCGAGTCCTACCATGGATCTGAGTCCTACCATGGATCTGAGTCCTACCAAGGATCTGAGTTCTACCACAGATCCGAGGCCTACCATGGATCCGAGTCCTCACAAGGATCTGAGTCCTACCACGGATCTGAGTCCTACCGGGGATCTGAGTCCTAACATGGATCTGAGTCCTACCACGGATCTGAGTCCTACCACAGATCTGAGTCCTACCATTGATCTGAGTCCTAACAAGGATCTGAGTCCTACCAAAGATCTGAATCCTACCAAGGATCTGAGTTCTACCACAGATCCGAGGCCTACCATGGATCCGAGTCCTCACAAGGATCCGAGTCCTACCAAGGATCTGAGTCCTGCCATGGATCTGAGTCCTACATGGGTCTGAAACCTACCATGGATCTGAGTCCTACCACAGATCCGAGTCCTACCGCGGATCGGAGTCCTACCGCGGATCGGAGTCCTACCACAGACTCGAGGCCTACCATGGATCCGAGTCCTCACAAGGATCCGAGTCCTACCATGGATCTGAGTCCTACCAAGGATCTGAGTTCTACCACAGATCCGAGGCCTACTATGGATCCGAGTCCTCACAAGGATCTGAGTCCTACCACGGATCTGAGTCCTACCACAGATCTGAGTCCTACCATGGATCTGAGTCCTACCATGGATCTGAGTCCTACCACAGATCTGAGTCCTACCATGGATCTGAGTCCTACCACAGATCCGAGTCCTACCATGGATCCGAGTCCTCACAAGGATCTGAGTCCTCACAAGGATCCGAGTCCTTCCAAGGATCCGAGGCCTTCCAAGGATCTGAGTCTTACCATGGATCTGAGTCCTACCACGGATCTGAGTCCTAACATGGATCTGAGTCCTACCACAGATCTGAGTCCTACCATTGATCTGAGTCCTAACAAGGATCTGAGTCCTACCACGGATCTGAGTCCTAACAAGGATCTGAGTCCTACCACGGATCTGAGTCCTACCACGGATCTGAGTCCTAACATGGATCTGAGTCCTACCACGGATCTGAGTCCTAACAAGGATCTGATTCCTACCAAGGATCTGAGTCCTACCACGGATCTGAGTCCTACCAAGGATCTGAGTCCTACCACGGATCTGAGTCCTAACACGGATCTGTGTCCTACCATGGGTCTGAGTCCTACCATTGATCTGAGTCCTACCACGGATCTGTGTCCTACCATGGATCTGAGTCCCACCACGGATCTGAGTCCTACCACGGATCTGAGTCCTACCAAGGATCTGAGTCCTACCACGGATCTGAGTCCTACCACGGATCTGTGTCCTACCATGGGTCTGAGTCCTACCATTGATCTGAGTCCTACCACGGATCTGAGTCCTACCACGGATCTGTGTCCTACCATGGATCTGAGTCCCACCACGGATCTGAGTCCTACCAAGGATCTGAGTCCTACCCTGGATCTGAGTCCTACCAGTCCTATGTACACATGTTTGGGACAGTAGACTTTATGGCACAGGCATGTTGTCTGTTAAGACCTACCCAGGCCTCTGCCAAGCTCAAGAGTCTCTATGAACAGTGCCTCGGGTTGGTCCCTGAACGTGTGGCTTCAGGATGAGGTCATCAAGTATGGTGGGCAAAAAATGAAATATAATGAGAAATCCCTGCATCACCCTTCCTTGGTCTTCTGAAATTTTAAGTGTGTGAACATCCCACCTGTAACTGTGACAAACTGAAGTGCTGGTGCTTGAACGAGGGGATGTTCACTGCTGACATCTGACAACCACCATGACAACTACGGAATGAGACAGGAAAGAAATCTCTACTTACTTGTCAGCACACACAGGAGAAACAGGTACTCGGTGTATGAGATGATTCCTGCAAAATATGAAACATCACGTCAACTTGGTCCATAAGGAGGAGATCCTTCCTCTGGTCTACATGAATTAGGGCTGGGATGGGTAACTCGGGTACCCAGGTCGGGTGGGTACTGAGTAGGACCCGGGTACCCAGAGGACTACCTGGTACTAGGGCTGGGACGGGTAACTCGGGTACCCGGGTCGGGTGGGTACTGAGTAGGACCTGGGTACCCAGAGGACTACCGAGACCCTTGGTTTGTCACGTGATTATGTTGTTTAATGGCAAAAATTATCTAGAACTCTATGGTTACACTATAAGTGGTAAATGTTCACATTTCTTTCTGACTTTATATGTTTGCATAATAATAAAACATCAGTCAACTTCAGTGTATGCATGACCAGATCAGTTTATATGTGTATCTAAATTTATTTTGAGAGGAGTACGGTCAAACTATTCCCAATTGGACATGTTTTACCTATCTCTTGAGACCTACAGCAGGTACCCGGGTAGGGTCGGGTAATAGGGGGATGGGTACCCGGGTAGTAAATTTGAACTCGTCCCAGCCCTAACATAAATAATACTAACGAATTCAGTTTAATAGCTCGGCCATGTGTGTGTGTGCTTGTACTAGTCCGGACAAATGGCAGGGTAACCAGTGATAGAAACTAACAGTTTTTGTCCACTAGTCCTTAAAATGATAACATATAGCAAAACCATTAAAAAGTGCAAATTTCTACTGGTCCTTATGATACCTTAACTATTGTGCAGTTTGGCAAGGACTATAGGACTAGTGCCAATTTCTAAGGCTGGTAACAACAGTTGGTGAGAGTGAGTTTAAATTTAATGTCACATAAGCAATATTTCAGCCACACCTGACAACAGAGTAGCAAGTGCCGAGTTAAAACAAAGTTCAACAGGCATATATGTCTCCAACAAGCATCCCCAATTGGAGACTTCATTTGCACCATGGGCACACATGTTGAATACAGTACATGGATACCCATTGGCAAGTAACATTCTGCACATTGTTTCTATTCAACACAAGGCCCAAATTATAATAGAGAGCTTCATCACCCACCATAGCGTTTTCTACATTAGTATTAAGGCTTGAAACAAACAAAATGACCAATATTTTCTGACAAAAAGAGTTCCACATTTTTTACACTTTTAACAAATGGCCTGCCCAAGAGCATTTTTAAAAATTTTATTCAGCCTAAACAACACTGCTGTCCTGTTAAGTGAAGTGGGGTAAATAGTTTCAGTAGCAGAGCTGTTCTTGTGGTGTATGTTCCTTTATAAGGTCACTAATGTCAATGCAGGTATGCAGACACTATGCAAGGTGGTGGCTTCAGTCTTCAAGATCAGTCACAGGCCACTTGCTACATTGTTGTGGTTAGTTTTTCAGCTTCAGGAATCAGGACTCATCTCAACCAAGTAAACAATCAATATCAAACTGTACAATGAATACGACAAATAGGGGGTGATAATGGAGACGAATCATTTTTCACACATTCCGATCATAACAAAAAGTTCACATAGGGTAAAGTTGAAAGATGCCTTTTCAAGTTTGAAAAAATAAATGTGCCAAATGAATATGTAGGAAGGCCTATTGCCCATGAACAGTTGAGCCACAATAATAACACGACAATAGAAAAAACCCACCCCAATAAATTAAAAAATGCTTAACCCAGATGAACGAAACAACACAGTATAGTAGAAAAACTCCATTGTATGATTAATAATTAAAAGAAAGATGAATAAACTCTGGACTAGGGGATAAATGGCATTATTTCATACAGTTAGAAGGGTGCATATCTGGGGTTATCACTTACTTGACGACCCATGAAGATTCCAAGGTAGAATATGTCTTCTGCAACCCATACTTGCCGTAAAAGGCGACTATGCTTGTCGTAAAAGGCGACTAACGGGATCGGGTGGTCAGGCTCGCTGACTTGGTTGAGACATGTCATCGATCCCAATTGCGTGGATCGATGCTCATGATATTAATCACTGGATTGTCTGGTCCAGACTCGATTATTTACAGACCGCCGTCATATAGCTGGAATATTGCTAAGTGTTGCGTTAAACAACAAACCAACCAACCAACCAACCAACCAACTTACTTGACCAAGTCATGGTGAATATTCACAATAGTCTACTTAATGTATCATCAACTTTCTCCACAAACGTGATACACAGTAGGGCGGGCAATTAGGAGAATCGGATGGGGGGTGGGGGGAGGGGGGAGCTTTCTACTATTGCAATAGTTCAGGGATTTATATGTCACTGAAGCCAATATACAGCGCCAAATCTGCACAAAATAGGAATTAAAAATTTCCCAAATCATGTTATTATAGTTCAGACTAATGTTTAAGCTTGGCCAAGGTGACTTGTATTTCACTCATAACAGGACCAATGAAATAAAAGAGACTTTAGTGCTTAATTTTACATTATACACATTGAATGCTGTTTTGTAATAAGCTAAAATAACTTTGAAACTTAGGTAATAATATTATTTTCAAAATCCCAATTTTGAACAAAATAACCATTTTCCCCAATTTGCCCAGAATTTGGTCTCCAATCCTAGATTAATCCTTTAGGTTCAAGGCTCAGTAGACTGTTGTAGAAGTTGAAAAGGAAGGTAGCTCGGGAAAGGTAATATTTACTGGCTGAGTTGTTTATTTCATTTATCACATCTGTCAAAACTAGTCTCGCATAATATCAATGTCAAATGTTCATATTGTAGCTTGTCATCAATCTAGTTTTTTTCACTGGCCCGCAGACAATAGCATTGCATGGGTGATTTTATTAATCCTTGCACAACATGTACATAACCTGAACTATCTCAATCAATACTGTTTGACATAGTGGAATACAACAAGGATGTCATCTAGCCCTTGTTTTATTATTCATACATGCAGACTAGTCAAGTCTGTGTGCATGGGTCAACTGCACATCAGTCAGTGTCAGGCTTCGACATAGGAAGCAGCTCATCCATCAACCCGTGACACATTGTTTTGCTTGTCATTGAACATTAAAGCCATATCTACCTTGGTTCTCTTTCTGTAAACAAGCATCCTCTCGCCTGTTCCGCCACATATGGGGAGGTGTGCATGCCAAATTGCTATTTTCACTTGTACGTTTTTGCTTGTTATATGCTTCATTTGACGATACAGAAAACACAGCTTTTATGATGCCGTGTTCCAACATTTAAAGAACTACATGTGTTTTACTGCCACTCCGAACCACTTATGTCAGAAAAAAGAATGATTTATAAAAGTTAACAGCGATCAACGACTTCAAAAGACACAATGCACAAAACCATGCTTTACATCCTCAATAACATTGTGTTCAGCTTGAAAAGAGTAATTAGAAAATATTGCCTGTACAGGATTCAGACAACTTAAATTGGTACAGCAAGTATTAGATCCTTCTTCTGCAATGAACACTCAAATCCAGCAAAACCAAACAAATAAAAAAATGCACAACATTGTTCTAAGAAAACATAGTCTGAACAGTATTTGTTTTAACATACAACTCTGAGAGCTCGACAAGCAAGGAATCTAAACCTAGTTTACTATTCACATGAAACAAACTCAACACTTTATTTTCAGAATGCTGGATACATACAGTAGAAGTGTCAATACCTGAGGGCACAGGGTATATTATATCATCAAAGTCTTTCGGCAAAATATCTTAGATCTGATTTACTGCTGTGTATCAAATCACAACAGGTGGATGAAACAATTTAAACGTGCAGGTGTAACGCCATCATCATGAGTTGCCGTAACTGCGGAGGAAGACCAGATACTCTTCGTAAGTAGGCACCTGTCAACTACTCATGTCCACTGTACGAGAACCAGACAACAGGTCAACATGTCCATATCACGGCTTGCAATACCAATGGCGTAATCAAAACACTAGTCTAGACCTTAATTAGCCTCCCTACCAGATAGAGAGCAGTGTTTTGGTAGCTAAACCAACAACCTCCCTGATAGCCAGTATGGGCTATCACTATCACAACATGGGGGATAGGTGTGCACACACTGAAAAGCAATCACTCTTAATTAAAACAATGGCCCTCTCAAGGTAAGAGTGTTTTCACGCCCTGGGTTATAAAGTCCAGTGAATGGCAATGATTGTCACTGCTTACAGTAGTAAGGCTAGGATTACGTATCTGACAAGCAGATCAGCTAATCTAGTTTACTGACGACCCTACAGACTGGGATTTGTGAAAGGGATGGGAGGTAAGAAGGAGATAATTAGTCAAGTTTACCAGCTGTTGTGCAGGTGACTCCTGCTCTATTTCTGTCTAGGTTTATTACAAGGTGCTACACTCGCAGGCCTAGGATAGTCGTCAGCAGTGGCTAAAGACATGAGCAGCCCTGTCAGAGCCTCTATTCAGAGCCTCTGTTCAGCACAGCCTCCACTTAAGTCCTGTGATTGCAGGGCCCCCAGGGAGGAAGAGAGTCTAAAAATATTCTGAACACTATGAAGCATTTTTAAGAATGTGTTCCACACTGGAAAGATAACCCATCCTGTGAAAATCATTCACAAGCAAATCTTGTAGTACTACATTTTCAAAATCACACTGGAATAATTAAAAGAACAAATCCATGATCAAAGATTACCTCAACCAAACTATATCCATATTCTTACTTAGTGGTAGTTTCAATCAAGTCAATGTCATTGCAATATTTTAATAATGGAGTCCTCTTTTATACTCATGTCAGTGTTAGAAATTGGGGGGAATCCAGGGCTGATTGATGTTAAGATCCCTTACCATGGTACTGTACTGCAAAAGAAGCATATGCCCCATTCATCACCACTCGCCCCTTCCCGTAACCTGCAAGCAGACTCGTCCCCCTATCGCTCGATGTACGAAAATACGACAAACCAATCAGAATGCACGTATAATTTCAAGTTCTTTGTCAAAGAATCCATCAAAAATAGTTTTTGATTTTACATATGTCTTGCATCTAAAGACATACCCGACACAGTGAAATGTGTTCAATCAT